TGGCATCCTAACTAAATGATTTGGAATGACATACAGGGGCAGCAACTCGATTGTGTCACACAAATAGCATTCCTGATGCCTTAGAATTAGACTAAACTGAAGTATTTTTATAGGCTGCACAGTTAAGGTGCCTACATCTTGGAAAGGCCTTCACATTGGGAGTGCCTCTGTAGACCGTTTACTAGGTTTTAGAACCAAACAATAGCATCAAGAAGTGCAAAAGACTGAATGGCCATGTTGATTATTTTACATGGATTGTGCATGCCTATATTTAACTGATGTAATTCTTTGCAATATATATTACATTGCAGTATATGTCTGTTTTAATAATCTATGCATGTCATAGTCCTCAAATGTCAGAAGTACCTGAAGCCCTGTTATGATCTTGACTGAAAAACACTTCCTCGTGTACTGTAGGTGAAATGAAACAGCTTTGTAATCACATGCACCAGAACTTCAAGGTTCTGGTCATCACCTGAGGCACACCCCATTCTAAGGGATGTTATCATGGAGTCGTTCCAATGAGCAAGATGAAACAAATGAGTTGGGTGAACTTCAGCAAAGGATGTCTAAGAAAAGAGACCTTGGCAAAAAGAGTCCCAAGGTCAGTCGTAGCCTACGCAAGAAGATTCAGAAATTCCTCCAGGGATCAGGGGAGTACACTGCCTATGACTCCCAGCGCTCTCCCGTGGAGATAGAGGATGACATGTTCATCTGTGGCATTAAGAGAGACCCCTCTACTCATAAGTGTAGTCTTTCAACTCAACGTAGTTTTGAAAGTCATACCAAAACCTCCAAGAGTACCGTTATTGGGCAGGGGAGGCGTAAAAGTGATGGCAGTATCACAATTCCATCCATCATGGGAATGAAAGGTTTAAAGCCCAAAGACCAAGCAGAAGACAGTGGTTGTGTAGAGGGAAGAGGTGCCATGGATAATAAACCAAGCCAAAGTAGGTACAGTGACAAGGACAAGAAAAGAGAAGGAGGGTCAAGCACCATAGTGGAACACATTTTGAAGGAGCTGCAGGGGATTAGTAAAATCCAAGAGGAGATATCAGATTTAAGACAATACCTGACGTCTGTAAGTGGCTCAGTAGATGAGGTGTCTTGCTGTGTAGATGCTGTACTGTTGGAAATTGAGGAGCTGTATTCAGTTGGTGCTGTAGGGAATCAGTCACCTCAAAGAGTTGTGGCTCATCAAAGAAACCCAGGTAGGGAGAATGCCGTTGCTCTCCCACAAAGTAGAAATAATAGCCCAGTAATAAAGCATAGAGAATTGGAGAAGAATGAAGGTAGACCTCTAACGGCCAGACCGAACATGTCAGGGTGGGATGTGGAAACGGATTACCGAGATGTACCAAGAAGAACCAAGTTACACAATCCCAAGACTTCTGACAACTTGGATGCACCCTGTTCCAGATTTAAGAAGTCCAGCTACTGTCATCTTTATGGGCAAGAGTTTACAAGCACTAGTTCCTTATCCTCAGGTCACAGTTCTAAGAGTAGAGATCAAGAAGGAAGTTATTATTCTAGGGAGACTGACCAAGAGAACAGTGGTTGGAGACGTTCAGAAATGCAGTTGAGCATGAGTGGAGAAGGAGGATGGAGTGGAGACACTGGATGGAGTGAGGAGGATTACTGCTCCTGCCAGAACAGCGTAGACGAATTGGAAACTGTTGGACGCCCAGATACATGGTACAGGTATAATGGTGGCGAAACCAATCATTCATCACGTAGCAGCTCTGAACACCTATCTCTACTGTTTGGAAACCATAATGACTTCCCATCTAGTTCATCCAGTGTTGTAGATTGGAGGCATCCTAAGAATCAAATTGTCAATGACACTGGCTGTGACTGCACATCAAATTGTGTGTACTCCCGTAGTTCTGGATACCACACCATGGACGCATATGCCGATGAATCGTGTTGCGGGCCATCCCGAAGCCTTAGTTGTTCAACTGTTGGAATGACAGACTATGATGATGGTTGCCAAAATCTACACTCCTCTTGCGAGCATTGCCTCTGTGATATGGATTCTGAGAAAGACTGGCCTGAAGGGGTTTGCCCAGATGTGTCTGAGGATCAGTATGACCCAGATTACTCTGAAAATACGGACACTGAAGAGTCGCAGCCACCTAATCTAGGCTATGATGTTGTAAAGATAAGTAAAGCCATGCTGACCTTCCATTCCACTCTAAGGGGAGCCTTGACAGCGCTTTATACACCTGAACCGCAGTGTCCCAAGTCCCAAGTAATCCCAAGTACCTACAAATCCAATGACCTTGAGGAGGATAGCACCACATTTGGTGAATCAAATGTAGAGACTGTTGTACCTATTGATGGCGCAACTTCAGATGTGTCTCCTCAAAAAGGCATCGAAGCCTCTTTTCATGGGAAGGAATTGCAGGAATTACATACTCCAACTGAATACTATGCAGCAGACCACTCAGATACTGTAGAGGAACCTCTAACAGATCAGAAGCTTTCCAATCTGCAGTGTATTCCAGAGCTTAGCCCAAAACATGTGGATCTGAGTTCAGGGATTGTTGATTCTTGTGCTCAACAAATGGCATTTGGCTCAGGTAATATGGAAATAAGTCCAGAGGGCACCAATTCAGGAACACTAGAGACAGATGTTAATGCAAAACAGGCGGAGCATAGTCTTGACAATGAACAGTGGTTGGAGACGTTCGGAAATGCAGTTGAGCGTGAGTGGAGAAGGAGGATGGAGTGGAGACACTGGATGGAGTGAGGAGGATTACTGCTCCTGCCAGAACAGCGTAGACGAATTGGAAACTGTTGGACGCCCAGATACATGGTACAGGTATAATGGTGGCGAAACCAATCATTCATCACGTAGCAGCTCTGAACACCTATCTCTACTGTTTGGAAACCATAATGACTTCCCATCTAGTTCATCCAGTGTTGTAGATTGGAGGCATCCTAAGAATCAAATTGTCAATGACACTGGCTGTGACTGCACATCAAATTGTGTGTACTCCCGTAGTTCTGGATACCACACCATGGACGCATATGCCGATGAATCGTGTTGCGGGCCATCCCGAAGCCTTAGTTGTTCAACTGTTGGAATGACAGACTATGATGATGGTTGCCAAAATCTACACTCCTCTTGCGAGCATTGCCTCTGTGATATGGATTCTGAGAAAGACTGGCCTGAAGGGGTTTGCCCAGATGTGTCTGAGGATCAGTATGACCCAGATTACTCTGAAAATACGGACACTGAAGAGTCGCAGCCACCTAATCTAGGCTATGATGTTGTAAAGATAAGTAAAGCCATGCTGACCTTCCATTCCACTCTAAGGGGAGCCTTGACAGCGCTTTATACACCTGAACCGCAGTGTCCCAAGTCCCAAGTAATCCCAAGTACCTACAAATCCAATGACCTTGAGGAGGATAGCACCACATTTGGTGAATCAAATGTAGAGACTGTTGTACCTATTGATGGCGCAACTTCAGATGTGTCTCCTCAAAAAGGCATCGAAGCCTCTTTTCATGGGAAGGAATTGCAGGAATTACATACTCCAACTGAATACTATGCAGCAGACCACTCAGATACTGTAGAGGAACCTCTAACAGATCAGAAGCTTTCCAATCTGCAGTGTATTCCAGAGCTTAGCCCAAAACATGTGGATCTGAGTTCAGGGATTGTTGATTCTTGTGCTCAACAAATGGCATTTGGCTCAGGTAATATGGAAATAAGTCCAGAGGGCACCAATTCAGGAACACTAGAGACAGATGTTAATGCAAAACAGGCGGAGCATAGTCTTGACAATGAACCTGCCCTTGAAGACCCTCACCACCAGAAGTGCCTTGCCAATATTCAACGTGTGCTCAAAGAGAAGAGACATCGGCATAGATTATCCAGGATTGCCAATGCCTCAAAGGACACTTTCTCTGAAGAGGAATTTAAACGAGGTACAAAAAAAAAAATGTTAAAAATTGTCTTTGTTTTTGGTTAGTTATAAATGTAAGCTGAACAAACATTTCTTACTTCTGTGAATCTTTGCTCATTTAATACTGTTTATCAATTGTTCTTTTCTATTTTCTTTATTATCCTGCTCTGTCTTACAGAGGGAAGCAGGGAAGATGATCAGGTTGTGATTATGTTTTGGTCAATTCTCAGTCGTTTTTTAATTTTTTTTAAATTAACGCCAGTTTTTCTTTGTCTTTCATCCAAAGTTTATTTGAATGCATTATTTTTTGGACCACATGGACCGCCTGCTACTTGCGATACGTTTGCTGTATCTTCGGTCAAATACAGAAGACTTCTGACGTTAACACTCAATGTTTTGTCTTTTAATGGTTACATGTGTTGTTTGGTTCTGTTTTGTTTTGCTTTAATGTGATTTGCCATCTTTTTAAATGATTAATAATTTGAAATGCTGGTCTTCGTCTTGCTACATTATTGCTTTTAAAAGCAGTTGAAACATACCGCATGCCCTTGGGGAACTCCAGCTATCCAGCTGTAGTTTCATTTATCTGAGGAAGAATGCTCATGCCATTTTGTAAAACAAAAATGGTTCACCTCAGATGGAAAACACAGGGACAGTTTGCTGAATGTTTGTCGGGGTTTCACTCATTTCTGTCATCAAGTCATTTGGGTGTGTTCATGTAATTGTCCTGATAGTTGATAACAAACTTTAGGGGTTTAACCCCAATTAGCTGACCATTTTTACTGTGCATTACAAGAGTGTGTGTGTACTTTCAAAAGTTAATTTCTATTTTCCCCTTTCATTGATTTTGCTCTGATCTCATGAGTTGCATGTCAGTCATTTGGATCAGATTTTTAAGCATTTCCATCAAGGACTTCATCTTCAATATAAAGTCATTTTGGTTGTCTTGTTTTGGTTTGCTTTCTCAGACCTTTTGGTGAAACTAAACCAATCATGTGTCCTCTGCATTTAGCTTAGGTTTTGCTCAAGTTTTATTACTTCGCTTGCACACATTGATTGATCTAAACTGTGTTCTTGATGCCATAGGGCAAAGAAAATGGAGATAATTCAAGACATGCTTGGATTAAAGCTGGGTAAGTTTCTCTTTCAGCATTATTGATGGTTGATATTAAGAGGAGTTGCATTATTAATGCAGTATTTTACTTTTTCTCTTTTTTTGTTATGGAAGTATTTATGAAAATACAGAATTATTTATGAGAAGTTAGTGACATTATATTAACGTGTTCATTGCCTGTGTATTAATTATTAAGCGTGGAAAATACTCCTTTACAAAGTGTTGATATCCACAGAAATGGGAGTGGAATATTTGGAATTGACAGTATGCCAGACCTGCGCAAGAAAAAAGCTATTCCTCTGGTTAGCGATGTGGTAAGTACTCTTTCCATGTGGCCTCACCTTAAATTAAAATCAAGAAAAGCTATATATATATTTCTGTTATAATTCTCAACATGGTATTTTTCTCCAAAAGGAACAGCATCAATCCAAATCTTGCTGAAATATTACTTGTTCAGTCGTATAACATGAAATAAAGACAATATTAATTTGCCAAATCTAGTTCAGACAAAAACTTCAGAATATGAGCAATTTTAGGTTTCATAAATGATAAATGACAACCTTTATAAATTTAAGTTCAGACAGATATGAAGTGAAGTAAAATCAACTCTGATCTCTCTCCTCCCCATGAAAAATGTACAATTAAACCTCTACAACTCTTTTGAATGCATTCATTCTGCATGGTCAGGCTATGGTAAGTTTTCAGAATAACCCATATGACTGAACCTTCTTTTTTGTGTACATCAAGATAATACTGCATCCACAGGATCAGTATTGCTGTAATAGTTTGCAAATACACAGCTAGAAAACATGACAATGCAAAAGTAGGATGTTACAAAGAAATTGTAATTGTTAAAATATATATGGAAAACGGTATTTAAAACTTTACTTCTGCTAATATCATAAACACTATATTATGATATGTAATATGATTCTGGTATTACAATAAAACATTTATTTTATACTCAATGAATGTATTTGCAAACCATTTCAACCTTAATTGATATACTGTACAAGCAAGCTAGCAAAAAATGGTTCTTTTCATTGGTTTACTTTTTTTAGTTTACTTACTTTTCCTCCGACATGCATCAACATGTTTGGGCCATTACTTTCAAAAGGCTGCTTTAAAGAAGGGTGTTTTAGATGCTTCCGTTCATACCTAGGCTTACCAGTAATGGTTTGGTTTCTTCATTAACCCCTTGTTCCTTTACTGCACAGACATTGGTTTCCCCGTTGATTTCTGGGACTCCCATAGTCACCACCTCTAGTTTTGAAGTTCTAGGTTGTTGCTCTCTTGCTTAGATGTTTATTTTTGACATCTGGATTCCACTTGGTTTCTGACCTCTGTTTCTATGCGATTTTATGTTGTTTTGCACTAACATCTGTTCTTTGTATGATAGTCTCTGGTCCAAGCCAGGAAGGCTGGCATTGCATCTGCGATGGCCTCACGCTCCTCCATAAAAGATGAGGAACTGGTTAGTTGAACTTTGTTTCTGACCATATTAAATAAATATTTTCGAAATAAATGTTTGTTCACTTTTATTCCCAACTCTTTCACTTCTACAGAAGAACCATGTGTATAAAAAAACGCTACAAGCTTTAATCTACCCCATTTCTTGTACAACACCTCACAACTTTGAGGTGTGGACCGCCACAACGCCCACCTACTGTTACGAGTGTGAGGGGCTTCTTTGGGGCATCGCTCGGCAGGGCATGCGCTGCACGGAGTGCGGGGTCAAATGTCACGAGAAGTGTCAGGAGCTGCTGAATGCAGACTGCCTGCAGCGTAAGTATGAGCACCTGTGCTATGTCTGAATCAATAGACTTGCTTGACAGCTTCCTACCTTCATCTACTGCCCGAGAAGGCCACATTTGTAGGGTTTCGGACACAGCCTGGGTTACTGGTGCTTTCAATGAAAGTCTCCTTTGTTTTGGTAGGACAGAAGCTCACTCTATTTTTTTTTTTTACATTCCTCTCTATATTTGACATCTGCCCTGTTGAACTCATTTACCCAAATGGACTTCCTTCAGTGACATCTCCCTTGTTGACAGGTCCATTAGCCAAAATTAAGTAAATGATTTAGAGGTGATGCTCACCGTAAAATAATCATCACACACATATATTTTGTAAGACAGGGTGTTTATTGGATGTATGAGCTTGCCATAGTTTTGATACAGAGGAGTTTTTGCAAATAGGACATGGAGGACATTACATTCAAGTGCTTTAATTGTAGAATTTCATTATAAAGTAATTAAAACAATTACATGAGTAATTGATTTAATGAATGAATTTTTTTTATCTTTTGATTGATATATATTTCAATCATGACAACTCTCAGAAGATTTTAGCATGGTGATGGATATTACAATGTTAATGTATTTGGTCTTGGCGGAATAGATCTGCTACGCTGCTGCTGAATTGTTGCTGCTGTTGGTTATTGCTGTAGTTGTAGATTATTGCTGCTGCTGCAAGCAAGTACAGGAACTTGCTACTGCCAATGCATATGGTGA